ATCATTTAGCTCGGAGGTGCCACTTTAATATTTGACAAAAGGTATTTGATCCTGATTCTGTCCATTTACATGGCTTTGCATCTCATTTGGAGTGAGCAGGAAAACATTCATGTTTGGGCGTTTAAAAAAAATGACATTATAATCTTTATTCTACAGCAAATCAATTTTTATGCAGCTCCTTCACCTTTAAAACCCTCCCAGTTTGTCTTCATTTTGCATCATATTTGCCAAAACTAATAGAGAGGAGGGCCACTCAGCTGGCAGACAATATGCAAATATTACTCATTGTGAAGAGTCTTATTAAAGGAAGAAAAGCCTGAACTTGAAGCTTTTTAGGAACAGTGTCTTCTGAGAGAGAGAAGAACTATTTTTGCTGGATAATGTTGGGAGATGAAGTGTTATAAGACCTTACTCTGACAGGAGAGAGGAAATTGCAAAGAAAGCCATTTATTTTCCTTCAGCAGCCTCCATAAAGACAAAAAACTGAATGCAAGAACATCTCATTAAATAAAATATTGCTGAAAAGTTTATGCATTTTAGTAATTCAGGTCAAAATATGAAGCTCCTATATTAAATGGATTAATAGATATATTTCAGAGGTTTATTTCTGTTAATTTTAATGAATATGGCTTCCAACTAAATATTTTAAATGCAGAAATGCAGGCCTACTGAAAAGTATATCCTTGTAGTGGACAGTATGCACTCAGTATTTGGTTGAGGCTCTTTCGGAGTGAAATACTGCATCAGTACCATGCAGCATGGAGGCCATGAACCTGTGCAGCTGCTGAGGTGTTCTGAAGTCCAGGTTGTCTTGAAGGAGGCCTTCAGCTCACCAGAATGGTTGTTTGATGTTTCTCACCTTCCAATTGACCCTCCACAGATGTTCTGTGGGGTTCTGACCCAGTAACACCAGAGATGTGTACTTTTAACAGTGCAGGCAGCTGAGAAGTCATGTAAGAAGATAAAACCAGCTTCTTCAGAAAGCTGAACTTAGTCACAGGCACGTTCAGGTCTAAGTTTGGTTAGCTGTGGTGGCCATCTTGAATCGACTCCAAAAGACGTATCGTACCCATCACTGCATTCTGTACCCCTTGGTCAGCTGGTCATCATTGTCTACACGTAGACTCTCACACTGGTTCATTTTCATCTATAAACCCCTCCTTGGTCTGCTACCTTCTTATAGCTCCTCCCACATCACGTCGTCAGTGCAGTTACAGCGTGCGCTCTCAGGCCATCATTACCTGCAGTGTTCCCTCAGTGTGGACTGAACTTGGCAAAAAGGCCTTTTCCAGCTCAACTCCTTCAACCTGGAACACCTTGCAACAGGAACTGAAGTTGTCCACCTTGATTTCTTTAAGGGGTTTCAAACATTTGATAATGTCAATGTTCTTGTTTTTAGTATTTCACCCTGTTTTATAGCACCCTGATTTATTGTTTTATACACTACTCTTTTTTTAACTGCATTTTTACTGTAGTTTATTGTTATTATTGTTTACTGTTATTGTTGTCTGTACTTTATATGTTCTGTCTGGAGCAGGTCTCTCTTGTAAATGAGTCCTCGTGGCTCAAAGACACTAGCCTGTATTAATGGTTGAATGGAAAAATAAGGTTATCAGTCGTAGTTTCATTAAAAATGCATCCGTAACTTCTAACAAACAGGTGATTACAGAGTTTTCTGCCTTTCAGAATGAAGCGTCAGATGATTTCGAGAACTTGAAGCCACTTAACGGAAAACAGAAACTAGAGGGAGATCTGCTTTGCATTGTCAGTAACCCTGCAGTTGACAGCAGAGGTCGTAATTAGGCTGAACGTAACGAGCAGCTGAGGCCGATGGGAAAGCCTTTAAGCATTTCTGTTCATGAACATGTCAGTGTATTTAGACAGTCCACAGAACAAATGAAAGCTTGACGCCTCTGCTGATCATCAGCGACTCCTCCACATTTATGGTGATCTGCCTGTGAGGTGTTGAGGTAAATTATCATGGAGTTACTGGTTGAACTCTGTCACCATCAAACAGTTTCGTGGTTGAAAAGATTGCTGAGTTCTCATCCTGTTTTTGCTTCACTTCTAAACTTCAGTTTTGAAGGTGTCCATCCTGCAGCATTGATTCATCAACACAAGCTGCGAGGAGCTGAATCACATGTGGATATTTTGGACAAAAGTCCATCCTGTAACCTGCTGACTAAGTCTGTCAGGTCATTTTTGTGTGTTATGTCATACCTGCACTTGCGCTTTTAGAAAAAAAAAAAAGTTACATCATCAGCGTTTATCGGAAACACAACGGAAAGGAGACGAGCAGAGGAGAGAAATGTTTGTTTTATTGATGGATCCGAACCTGCTGCTTTTGTTGATAACACGGAGTATAAAAACTACATGAACCTCAATTACGGCGTCATTAACATCATTCAAGAGTGAAACTAATATAAAATAGTTTTTTTTAATACTGAAACAAACCAAGAGAACATTAGCACAGTGGAAAAATTACCATAACAACTTTTAAATTCAGAGAAATAGAAATGTCACGTGTAAACACTGAATTATGCGGCAACAACACAGATGACATGGCGTGCAGTGCGTGTTGAAGAAATTAAATGCCTGACAAATAAAGACAAATAAATGAGCCCCTGATCTGACGACCTATTTTTAATCAAATTGTTGACTTCTGCAGTTTTGACAGTGTCTCCATGCTGCTGACTGAAACGATTCGCTCAAATAAAACGTGTTTTGAAGCTCCCAGAAGATATTTTACTGACGCTTCACAAAGAAGATGGAGAGAAAAATGTGGTTGTTTTTTTTATACTTTACAATTCTGAACTGATTCATAACTAGAAGTAAACTAAAACAAGTTCATGTTTTTATTTTTTGAAGCTGACTTCATGTGTTCATCTTCACATCTCCAATAAATCCAATGAAAAACAGGCAACACAAAATCCCCACAATTAAAAAAATATATCTGAATTTTGCAGAAACATCCATTTGTTACGCACAATCGAACAAAATATGACAACGATTGTAAGAAAACACTTCAGTGATTTTAAACTTTAAGGGAAAAAATCTATTTTTTTTAGTTTTTATTATTCTAAAGTCACTGAACAAAATATTAACAGAATGTATCATTTATTATTTCATGCTGTTCTAAGTCATTTGACTTATAGAGAATCTTATTTTCCTCTGAACAAAGTGACCCCAACATTATAGAAAATATGGACAGCTCACATTAGTTCATTAACAAAAAACAGCAAATAAAACATTATTTTAAACTAAAAGAGTCCCGTCCATAAAGTATACATGTGATGTCAGTCAACAAAGAGAACTTAATTTAAATCCATGTGAAGGGTCTACTACATACAGCACTATTTCTATTTGTGCCATACACACTGTTATAATATTTATTAAAAAGACATTATAGTCAATTTGATCAACCTAAATTTAAAAAAAGTAATTGGGAGAATAAGAATTTGATTAAAGTGAGTCCACCTGCATACGAAGACAAAATAAGTGATTAATATTTATTAAATAGGTGATAATTTAAAACTTCTTTTAGTTTGAAGCATCTTTTCTGGCAGTTGTTCATTTTATTTTTTACACAATTACATGTTTTTGTCCCAAACTCAACAAAAAGCAGAGTGATGTCATTTTTACTTTCATGTTTTTCAGTGAAACAAAGCAGACGTTCATTAATTGATTTATTAAATCTGCACCAAGTTAAAGTCATTGATCTACATCCATCCATCCATTATCTTTACCTGATTCTTTTGTTTTGAGTCTCGGGGTTCACTGGTGCCCATATCCATCAGTCACTGTGCAAGAGGTGGGGGACACCCTGGACAGGTCTCCAGTCCATCACAGGGACACATAGAGACAAATGAGACAAACAACCATTCATTCTCTCACTCACAGCTAGAGACAATTTAGAGTTACCAATCATCCTAACATGCATGTTTTTGGTCTGTGGGAGGAAACTGGAGTGCCCGGAGAAAACCCATGCATGCACAGAGAGAACATGCAAACTCCACCCAGAAAGAACTTGGCTGGGATTTGAACCAACGACCTTCTTGCTGATAGGCAACAGCTCTACTGAGCCACCGAGCCTCCCCGACATGATATATTTTAAATGATTTTTTTAAACTATTAATATCCAAAGCTTTGCATTTCATCCTTTTTGCAGCCAAAATATTTTTAATTAACCCACCCTGCAATTTCATCAACTACCTTAAAAGGTGAGCAATCTTGTAATTGCTTGTGTGTTTGTTTGTTAGCAAAATATCTCATGAAGCACTGGATGAACATCTACAACTGATTAATTTTCGGAGTCAACCTGACTCAAGATAGCTGCCAATTTTTTATTATTGTTAGCCAACAGAAACATGTCTACAACTCAGTCATTTGTTACGAATGTTCAGCTAAAATGTGGTGTGGTAGTAGTTGAGACTGATCCTCAGCACATATTCTGAGTGCTGACAGCTCACGTAAAATTGTTTACAACTATGGCATTAAACGTGGTGAGCATTCTTTTAAAGTAAATGCTACTTCTCTCACTATAAATCTGTGTTTGCCTTTGTTTTTAGTTCAAACCCTGACATTTAAATGATTAAATAATTCTAAACAGAGAGCAGATATTAAAGTTTTCACTTTGTACAGATTTGTTGTATGAAATAAGAGCTGAGACGTTAAAACATTGGAGCTTGGTGAGTTTGGTTTGACATACCTTACTTAAATCTGCAGGTGATTCAAACAGCATGAGACCACGGCACATGCACACATCACAATATCAATGCTGACACCACATATTGTCCCGTCCACAACCCCGAAAGCTTGTGGGTCTTTTGACATGATGGTGGGTTTCAAACCCTCACCTCACTGGTACCATTTTCAGCCTCCATCTTTTCAGCCAATCAGCTGAAGGCACAGTCAGACATGGACACTATCCAGAGGCAGGAATCATCAATGCTCCTCACTCTTCACCTCAGTGACCCCTCCCAGCACCACCTCCACCATCCTCAGACCCAGACGTGGAAGCTGCCCCCCCAGTCCAGCAGTCTCCCTCTGTACCAGGCTCGCCTGATCGGCTGAATGAAAAGCAGGAGCCGAAACCTCCGGAGCAGCCCGCAGAAGACCGCCGCTGCCACGACCACGAGGGGCGACATCATCACGAAGCCTAGAATGATAAGGGCGGAGGAGCTGTTGTCGTCAAGGTAACGGCAGATGGCGGAGGGGGCGTTGAGGACCTGCAGGGGGCGGGTGTGGGTTGGGGGACACAGAGGGGTGTGTTAGAGTTTGGGGTTTCAGCAATCTATGGACTCAGGGTGCAGAGGTGTCAGGTGAGGAAAAATAAGATGAGTGCAATGTCTGCAAATTTTATTCCCTGATGACAATTTGAACAATGAGAAATTGCATTTCCTGCGAAAATGCAGTGTGAATGCTTATAGCAGAAGATCTTGCTGAGAAACAGCTGAAATTAGCTAAAAAAAAAAAAAACACGCTGAAATGGAAGAACAAGCCTAAATTAGCAGAAGAAAGAAGAACGAACACATATTTGTTGAAATAGGTTTAAACAAGCAGAAATGAGCATAAAAGTGAGGAATTGGCTAAAAAAGTTGGAATTAACAAAAAAAATTGCTGAAAAGTAGCTGAAAGGCAGAAAGAAGCTTAAACTATCGGACGGAAGCGGAAAGAGCTGAAATGAGCTCAAAATGTGGAATTAGCTAAAAAAAAGACTAAACTTAGCTAAATAGTATCTGAAATAGCAGAAAAGGCTGAAACAAGCACAACTAAGCTGAAAGGAGTATAACAAATTGAAATTATCAGACAGAAGTTAATTAGGCTGAAAATAGCAGAAATTACCACAAAAAAACGTGATTTTATCTTAAAACAGCCGAAATTAGCTAGAAAATGCTAAAAAAAAAAATTGCAGAAAAGTTAGAACAAACTTAAATTAGCTGAAGAAAGGAAGAAAAATAAGTGAACCCAATTAGGCTGAAAGAAGTAGAAATGAACACAAAAAAGGTGGAAATTATCTGAAAAAAGCTGAAATTAGCAATAAATAAATAAACAGCTGAAAAGTAGCTTAAAAAGCAGAAAGAAGTTTAAATTACCAGAAGGAAGTGGAGAGAGCACAATTTTGCTGAATTAGGCAAAAAATAGTTGAAAAAATTAGTCCAAAAAAAAACGTGGAATTAGCTTATAAAGCTAAAATTAGCAAATAACAGCTAAATAGTAGCTGAAATAGCAGAAAACAGCTGAAAACTTGCAGAAATAAGCAGAAAGGAGCATAACAAGCTCACATTAGCAGAAATAAATTAGAAGAAGCAATAAAATTTAGGTAGCAGAATGAATCTGAAAGAAGCACAAAACAGCTGAAAACAACAACTGAAAGTAGCTGAAACTAGCTGGGAAAATGTTTAAATTTGCACAAGGAAGCTGAAGGAAACTTAACCAGGACAAAATGTGAAAGGAGCAGTCAAAGGTTGTAAACACATCTAAAGATTTGAAGGATGTAAAATGAGCTCAATTCATTTTCTATGAGGAAAAAATGGCAGAAAAGGCTAAATATTTCAAAAAGCTAAAGTTGCACTAATACCAAAAGTCATAGCACCCTTCTCCTAAAAGAGCTGAACGTTTTGATATATGACTTGTTGAAATAGCACAAAAATTGTGGAATGAGAAAGACACCAAAAAACATACGGAAGAGAAATGGATCTCAACAGTGTGAATGCTTCATAAGCATTCACACCATAAAAGGACGAGGTTCTGCGCAGACCTGCGGTGGTTTCTTTACTCTGTTGGGCTGAAGACAGAGCTGCTGGTTTAAGATTTCACCTGTGAGCTGTCAGCACGCTCATGCAGAACGAGCCACACGTTTGTAATCACCACAAACACTACCTCCGAAGCTTCAAGAGTGCAGTTTTTAGCAGTTTAGCAGAAAATCCAAACACAACTGAACACTTAGGAGTGTTTATGTTTTTAGGCAGCCAGGCTTAATGACAGATTATCCTCCTGTTCTCCCATTAATGACATGAGCCTACTTGCCTGAACTTCCAGTGAAGTTAAACAAGAAGTGGAGCAGATTCCTCCTCCTAAATGAGTTGTGAACACAATTCTGCAGTTGTATGCAAATATTTGGGCAGTACTGGGCAAAAGCATGTTGATTTTGGAGGTGAAGAGAGGTAAATGCAGGCCCTGAAGCACGCATACGTTTATCTATTTAAGTAAAATTAAAAACAGGTATTTTTGAGTTCAGAGGGTGTTCAAATCAGCTTTTAGTAAGACTATTACAGTGTGAAAACATTTTCTACAAGCATTTAGGTTTGTGGGGATTTCTTGGCTGTGGAGCTTTATTCATTCATCTAGCAAATCATTTAAAGCAATAGTTCCGATCGTTTGGAGTGGGGTTCTGTGGAGAGGTTATGAACAATAAATATCTTACCTGTTGTAAACAGCTCTTTGAACAACTCCAGTTCAGAGAAACAGAGCATTGATTGTCAAAGTTTCACACTAACTTACTCTGTCTCTTCCCTCCTGATGTTACAGTGTATTGAGTGTTTTTGTTTGTTGTGTAAAAACAAAGGGATTGTTTGTTGAGGCACAAAATGTAATTAGATAAATCAAGTTTAGGTTATTTTGTTACAAACTACAGAGTACACTGGTCTCAGTGTGGAGAAGTATAAGTCTGTATTCGTGTTAACAGCTAGTTTGAGTCGGGCCAAGACCAAAGTGGATATTTGTACGTCTTAAAACAACTTCAATCTAAAAATGTTAGTAGTTTATTTTCTATATTCAGCATCTTATCCATAGTCGGGTCACAAAGGCAACAGGTCCAAGAGAAAAACCAGACCTCCCTCCCCCCAGTAACACTCTCCAGCTCCTCCTGAGGGACCCCAAGGTGTTCCCAGGCCAAAGAGAACACGAGTTCTCGGTCTACCCCATGACCTTATCCCAGTGGGACAAGCCCAGAAAACCTCCAAAATCAGGCATCCAGGAGGCATTCTGATCAGTGGCTCTATTCTGAGCTCCCCCACCGGATGATGGAGCTCCTCACCGATCTCTAAGGCTGTCTCCAGACACCCTATGAAGGAAGCTCATTTTAGTAGAACCTCGTTCTTTCGGTCATGATCCAAACCTCATGACCACAGGTGAGGGTTGGAACGTAGACAGACCAGTAAATCAAGAGCTTTGCCTTTCAACTCAACTCTTTCTTCACCACGACTGACCGAAGCAACACCCTCATTACTGAGGACAAGGCCCCAATCCATCGATCCATTTCACACTCCGTCCTACAATCACTCATGAACAAAATGCACAGATATTTCAACTGCACCTGAGTCAAAGAAGGCCTGGTTGCACAGGAAGTGCTACAGCTAGCTGCTGCAACTGCTTCTTCCAAATGACCACAACGTTTTATTTTAATAACGGCGTAATACAAAATGGACAGTAATGAAAATGTTTATGAATTGATTCCAAAGTTCATGCTCAATAATCCAGGTATAAAATCCAACAATGTTCAGTCAAGTCATCCGGACGGTTTCTTTTTGTGATGAGATGTTTTGTCCTTCATCCAAAGGACTTCTTCAATCTGAGGAGCCACCAAACAAAACTGATTCCCACAAACAGCATACTCCATAGAGGAAAAAAAAAAACCAGTTTGCTGGTGCTAAGATGGCCTCTGTGGCCCGCCCTCTCCTCCCCCGTCAACTCCTCTGAGACAGTCATGCCAAAGTGGTTCAAAACACCAAAGAACATCAATTTATGAATTAATATTCGCATTACCAACTATAATGCTGGAGTTGTTTGACCTAGTCCCTGTGGGACAAGCCGTTAGCTCGTCGGTCTTGTTAGAATTAAACTCCATCCATCATCTTTTACCCGCTTCTTCCATTTTGGGTCATAGGGGTCGCTGGTGCCCATGTCCAGCAATCACTGTGCGAGGGGCGGGGTATACCCAGGACATGTCTCCAGTCCATCACAGGGACACATAGAGACCAACGAGACAAACAACCATTCACTCTCTCACTCACACCTAGGGACAATTTAGAGTTACCATTCAGTCTAACATGCATGTTTTTGGTATGTGGGAGGAAACGGGAGTACCTGGAGTAAACCCACGCATGCACAGAGAGAACATGCAAACTCCACCCAGAAAGGCCCCTGGACCGGGATTTGAACCAGAGACCTGCTCGGTGAGAGGCATCAGCTCTACCAGTTGCGCCACCGTGCTGCCAGAATTAAACTCCTTTTGTTCAAAATATTAAGATATTAGATGTTCATAAAGTTTCCACAGAACCTGACTTCAAAATATCTGAAGTATCCCTTTAAGGCAGAATAAGGTAACAAATCTTTAAACTTGCACAAAAAGTGAACAAACCTTTGGCTTTATCTGGTAAACCTACCAACATTTAAAATAAAGTTTATGTATTGTAATCTGTCATATATTATTTACAATGATGTTAATTTTAAACGTGGACATTTAACGTGATAATATTGATCTTTATATGAATTTTAATTCCTTGTTGTACGTCAGTTTCCCTCAGACGTCGTTACACGCCTCCAGCCCTGCAAACCCAGCAAACTCCAGTTTTCCTTTCGACAAAAAAACCACTGAGCAGATAATGACTGCTGCCGCCCTGCTGGGATCAGACCTGAGAAGGTGCCTCGTCTGCAGAAGATGGAGAAATTACATTTCTCTGTTGTTTTCCACCTAAATGCTCTCGTTGGAAAGAGTAAATCACGTCGAAAGCCTCGGGAGTGAGGAGGTGTTGAAGGAGCTGGGAGCGCAAATCCAAATCGTGTTAGTCTCTGTGAGGATGCAGGATGAGGGGAGCCTTTTATCCCAGCAATCTATCAGGAGCAAAGCTCTGTTCAGTCGTAACAACAGTCACAAGCATCAGCCGGTATCTGCACAGTGGGTTCATCGTCTGATTTACGAGTGTTGAGCAGACACACACAGGACCTGCTTTATTTACCTTCACATATAAATATTTCTGCTCATGCCCAGGCCTGTCGCGATAAACAATAAATCAATTAATCGCATGATAAATGAAAATTATCGACCTCATTTTCATTTATCGGCTTTATTGTTTCTTCGTGTCTCTCTAGACACTGGACGACAAAAGGCTCAACTCTGGTGCGCTTCACTGACTCCTCCCTTTCTCTTAAAATTCTGTTTTAACGATCCAAAATCACCTTTTTGGATCGTTAATAGCAGCTACGCTACGAGTTAAGCTAACAGGCCAAGCTCGGGGAAAAATCTCCGTCTTGTCAAGCTCCAAAACTCACGGTTGAAACCTGTGCCTTCATGAAAACGATTGTTTTTCTCTGCAAAAAGAAGCTGAGAACTTGTTTACTGATTTTTTTTTTTATTAAAAGCTTTATGTGAAAAATGCTATGCTAAAGAGCTCAAACCACACCGAATGTCCGCCATTTTGACAACCGATAAAACGAAGAAGAGACAGCCCACGTCACGTCAAGGGGCCTCCCTCCCATTTTTCTTAAAGAGACACGCTGCTCGCTCCCTCACTATCCATCCTTTGGTTTGTTTTATACTGCCATCTGGTGGTCAAAAAGGTACTACACGTCTGTTTTTTCTGCACACCTGATCATAATTTGTTGATCAGCACACCTGTGGTGCGTTTAACCTTAACGCCTCCTCTGTATTAAAACAACTAAAGTCTTGTTCTCTGAACTTTTTTTTTTTTTGAGACTTTTCGTCCTTCGTCCAAAGGACTTCATCAGTCCGAGGAGCCACAACAAACTCATTCCCTAAGCAGCACACTCACATAGTGGGCCAACCAGAGTGATGGTGATAAAATGGTTCCTGGAGTCCTCCCTCTCCCCCATCGACTCCTCTAAGGCAGCCATGGCCCAAAGTTAATGTTCAGAGGAGTTGACAGGGGAGAGGGAGGACTCCAGGAACCATCTTATCACCATCAAACTGGTTGGCTCACTATGTGAGTGTGCTGCTTAGGGAATGAGTTTGTTGTGGCTCCTTGGACTGATGAAGTCCTTTGGATGAAGGATGAAATGTCTCAACAAAAAATAAACCGTCCAGAGGTCCTGACTTAACTTTGTTGGATTTGTTACCTGGATTATTCAGCATGAACTTTGAAGCTAAAAGTCTTGTTTTTTTCCCATTAAATCCTATAATTCATGTCACCACCAGAAAAGTTTTAATAAAATTTGCTAAAAATAAGATCTACAACCCATTAACCTGGAGTAAACCCAGTTCAAGATGGCTGCTGAGCCAAATATCCTTAAAAACCTAAACTTGGAACTCAGTCAGTTTGGTGTGGTAGTAGCCAAGAGTCATCCTCTGTGACATCTTGCAGTAGTGCCTGACATCTCCGATGGCGTTTAAAAGTTATTTTCCATCATTTCTCAACATGAGATGATCTGTCAACAACTCGGGCATGAGAGGTGGAGGGTGATGTGCATTCCTTGCTGGACCTTTTATTTAATTTGAAGCTGATTTTTCCTGTATCGTCTTTGACCTCCCAGTTCTGTGTTTACCATATGACGGTCCTATGAGCAACGAGATCTTCTACGTGTTAAAATTAAATGAGCTTTGTTTGAAACGCAGAAAGGAGCACGGCTCCAGATGGATTAATGTGTGAAGAGTCTTCTGATACACATCTTTGGTTTGAATAATCTCACATGGAAGTAGCTCGTTTATAATCAAACTTTCACAACTTTATGTGATGGATCACATTATACATCATACCTGATTAGACAAGTGAGCCTCCCAGACTGTAATAAAATCTGTGAAATGAGCTCTAATGGTCTCTGAATACTAATGAAGAAGAAGCTCTAATAAAGTTCAAAATCCTGTAAACATGGAGCACAGAATGCTTAGTGATGAAGTGAGACCACGCAGCTCTGAGCTCACCCTGGAGTGGCAGAGGAACCCGGCGTACAGCAGCAGCACGGCCGGCATCAGAACCACAGAGAAGACAACAATCAGCAGCAGAACTCCAGCTGTGAGAACGCACAGGTTCCACAGGACCAGGGCCGCCCCGCAGGCCGCGCAGCCACACCTGCCCCTGCGGCTGCCCCACGCGCTGCCCTCGCTGTGGGCCACGGGAGGAGGCAGCATCTTCACAGCATCCCCCATCCAGAACTCCTCCTCCTCCTCCTTCTCCTCCTCAGCTGGACCTCCATCATCCAGGTCCACGTCCACACCGCACATCCTGAATGACAAAGAAGCACCTTTGAAATAGAAATCAACTCCACTGGTAAAAGTTTCAACAGGCTGCAGATGTGACAATTGAATATAGTCAAAATAACAAAATCTGCAGCTTATTAGTTTATTTTGTAACACTGAGCCAGTTATCCTGTTTTGCTCTACATGACAGTTTTTTTTGTTTTCACTTTTATTGACTAAATAACAATATAAATAATTTACATGCAGCCGTTCAGATATAGTAAATTTCATTTGAACTTAGCTTCTAATAGAAAAACGAGTTGTCTTTACTTTAGATTTCAACCTAAAACATCACAAAGCTCATAACGCAGTTGGATGGTGCGTGCAGTAAAGAACTCACTTACCTCGATAAATAAATGCGGCCAGTCGGTGAAACTGTCTGATTGTCTTTCCCTCCTTTGATCCACGCGGAGCTTTGAAGAAGCGGCGAGAACAAAGCTTCAGACCGACAGACAGACAGACAGACAGACAGACCGACAGACAGACACCTGTGACTTGAACCCCGCTGCTGCTGAAGTAATCCTGACTGTCTGTCCTCCTCATCCTGCACGCGCGCGTCCGCGGGAGCGAGGCTGTGAATGAACGACCCCTCAGGCTCGCGCGCGCGCTCCGATCATTTTTTTTAAAGTACAATACAAATGTGAAAAAACAAGAAGAAGGTTTGTGTCTGTGGAGGGTATGTTGTGAATCACTCTCAGCTACTACCACATCAGACTGGAGCTCAACGTCTGTGAGTTTGATTACCGTATTTTTCGGACTATAAGACGCATTTTAAATCCTTTAATTTTCTCAAAAATCAATAGTGAGCCTTATGTATGGTTGTGCTTACTGACCTCGAACAAATTTTATGTGGTTATTATGAATTAACTGAATAAAGTTTGACTTATCTGACTGTTTTGTTTTGCTTATAATCTGAAAAATACAGTAAATCAGAGCCAGTTTTCTGTTTGCTAAGAGCGAATGGCTGCGGCGGCCATCTTGAATTGTCTTGACCCCATAAGTTCATCAGTTTATGCACATCCAGTCAGTACTTCCTGAAAGTTTCATTCAAATCCGTCCAGGAGCTCATGCGATATAACAGACAAATAATTGGGTTGCTGCTGGTGTTCAGTGTCACACTCAAAGCATGCTCTGTGGATGATGCTCAGTTACTACCACAACAAATTTGAGCCTAATAGCTGCAAAAATGAGTGGGTTATAGCCATTTTTGTGTTTATGTGTGTTCAGCTGGATGTGGCGTTCGTCTTGAATTGGACTGACCTAAAAAGTTTTTCAGTTTTAGATCTCAACCCAATGATCAAGTTCTGAAAAAGTCAATAAAATCACGCTTATAGTTCATGAGATATTTTGCTAAAAGACAGAGTTGACTAACGCTTCGTTGCAAAGGTTGAAACAAAGATCTTGTACAATCAGTAACCCCTCAGAGTGCTGCAAACGACTCTCAGCTACTACCACACCAAATATTAGATGAATGTCTGTAAGGCACAGACAGTTATTTCGCTGCACATCTTCAAACTGCACACAGCTCTTCAAAATAAAAGTTGTAACATTTCATGTTTCCTTAATTTCTTGTTCCTCATTCATGTTAGTGGAAATTTGAGAGTAAAGATGAAATGAGTAACAGGTTGCTTAAAAAATGTACAGGCTGATTTTATTTTGGCAGAAAAAAAGCTTTTTACATTGAAGGAGTTCTAGCTTAGATGATGTGGACCATGCCGCTGTGCAACACTGCAGCTGAAGACTTATCTAAAGTTAGGAGAACCAGCTCAAATGTTTGTTTCTTCTGGTTCAACACCCCACAGGGATTAAAATATTCCTGCAGGACGTCTGAACCTGGAAGTGCTACAGCTTGCTGCTATAGAATTCTATAATTATAAAGAAATAATGAAGAAATGCAACTAGTTCGTCCATCCAGTTACTTGGGCAGGTCAGAGATTTTGTACTTGCTGCAGAACAGACTCATAAAAACGGACCTGTAATAACAAATATAACTTGTAGAGGTGCTCTAGTACGTTCTATGGCACATAGCTAATATATGTGAGACAATCTGTCCTCTTTGAAGGGAGGAGCATGTTAACATGATCACAGTAGATTACAATATGATCAGTGACAGATGTGCAGTAAAGACATGTCTCCCTCCACTCTACATGGAAACATTGTCAGCACGCGCTGCTGTCAGATAACAGGACGATCGATTTGCCGTCCAGCGCAGACAGCCTTTGTCTGATTAGATTTAACTACGCAGGACAAGACGAGACAGGAGGCTGCGGAGACAGATGTGGGAGACACGGCAATACAGAAACATTAAAGATAGCACAGCTTCATAGTTAAATATAAACATGGCGCCTGAAACATCTGCTGACATCTGCTGGACTAGATGGGAACTCTTTACCAACATGTAGAACAGATGAAAGTTATTTTTACCAACCAGCAGAACCCTGTTCATCAGTAATGCTCTGTCTTTCTTATTGAGTGGACTTTGCCTATAATTCAGTTTGAGAGGCCTGCAGAGCCCGGACATGTTGTCTCTGGTTCCTGTGAGACTCTGAAGCCTTCTGTTTGTCTGCCTCCAACTATGCATTAGGCCACTCACCATCCATTACCTCGACAGCTTCCTGGTTACCATGGCGATTGATTTGAATCTAGTGACAAGTGACACTTGTGGAAAATAAATAATTGTTCTAAACTTAAAAAACTCTTAAAAGA